ATGGACTGGTTGATGCCTCTCTTTATGTTCAATAATATTTGTTTTATGAAATTGATGTGTCAACATACAGTGCATATATAGTCAGAGTTGTGATTTGCTAATTTTTAAGAATCTAGTTGCTTTTTTATCTAACTAATTTTTGTCATAACATGTGCGTTATATATATTTTATATTTACTTGTTATTAATATGATAGTTTATTCTTAATAGTTATTTTATCTGTACTTATTATATATGATGGTTATTATACATACACATATATTTGATAGTTCATTCTTTTTTTGGTTTTTTTTTTAATTTATTTTACATACCAACCATGATTTCCCTTCCCGCTCCTCCCCTTTGTTCACCCACCTTCCTCCAACCCACTCCATATCCACTCCTCAGAAAGGGTAAGGCCTCCCATGGGCCTTACCAACTGAAATTGCCAAAAAAGCCTGGCAATTTCAGTTGAGGTAGGACCAATACCCTCCACCCTGCATCGAGGCTGAGCAAAGCATTCCACCATATGGGATGGACTGCAAATAGCTAGCTCATGCACCATGGATAGATCCTGGTCTCACTACCAGGGGTCCCACAAACCAGCAGTTCAAGAAAACTGTCTCTGTGGGTTTCCCCATTATGATCTTGATCCCACTTGCTCATAAAATCCCTCCTTTCTCTCCTCGACTGGACTTCCAGAGCTCAGCCTGCTGCTTGGCTGTTGATCTCTGCATCTGCTTCCATAAATTACTGGACGAAGGGTCTATTATGACACAAAGTAGTCACCAATCTGATTACAGTGGAAGGCCAGTCCAGGAATCCTGTCTACTATTGCTAGGAGTCTTAGCTATGGTCATCCTTGTGGATTCCTGGAAATTTCCCTAGCACTAGGTTTCTCCCTGACCCCACAATGGCTCTATCTATCAAGGTATCTCTTTCATTGCTCTCCCACTTTATCGCTCCTAAACTCTACCATCTTGTTCCTCATGTTCTCATCCCCCACCCCTCCCCTTTACCCATCCCCATGCCCCCAATTTACACAGGAGGTCTTATCTATTTCCCCTTCCCAGGGCAATCCATGTGTCCCTCTTAAGGTGTTCTTTGTTACAGCCACTTTGGAAATCAATATGAATGTTTCTCAGAATATTGGGAATCAGTCTGCCTCAATACTCAGCAATGTCACTCTTGGGCATATACCCAAAGGATGCTCAATCATACCACAAGGACACTTGCTCAACTATGTGCATAGCAGCATTATTTGTAATAGCCAGAACCTGGAAACAACCTAGATGCCCCTAAACTGAAGAATGGATAAAGAAAATGTGGAAAATTTATACAAAGGAGTATTACTCAGCTATACAAGACAATGACATCATGAAATTTGTAGGCAAATGGATGAATGAAGAAAAAAATCATCCTGAGTGGGGTAATACAAATCCAGAAAGACAAATGGTGTGTATTCACTCACAAGTGGATTCTAGATATAAAGCAAAGAGCCAGACCACAATCCACAGCTCAAGAAAAGCTAGTTTATTCTTAATTTCCATTTGCTTGGTACACTAACTCCTACCATTTCACTTTGGGCCTGTATCAATGAGGTGCATTTCTTACAGACAACAGTCAGTGAAAACATCCAAAGTATAGATTTCTAATATGCCTGTTAATGGGGGAATGGTGGAAAATATGACAATTGTACATAAGGGAGTATTTTCAGTATTATCAGGCATAATAAAGGACAAAATGTTGCTGTTTTGTAGAGAAATTGATGTAACTTGAGAAAAATAATGTTAAGATAAATAAACCCAACTCTAAAAGAAAAATATCAAATGTATTCTTTCATATTCAGAATTTGGATTTAAAATAAAGGCCATAAAATTAGAATAGTGGCTATGTAGGTGGTAAAAGAGGACCCGTTTCATGAAGAGGTCCAAGAGAAGGTGATGAGGGATGAACATATGCAAGAAAAGTAATATGCATGTATGAAGCTGCCGTAATGAAATCCAGTATTTTGTATGCTATCACAATTACTGAAACATGATAGCTTATCTGTCACCACCTAGATATGATATAAACAAACTTCTATATAAATAAACTTAAGTGATTCACCATGTGTTTGGTATATTTAGTTCTAAAATTTTACTAGCATGTATCCTTGATAGATTAGTCCAAATTATACAAATATACAAGGCTGACTTACAAAACAATGAAAGAATATTTGCATATTTTCAATGCCTGTCTTTACTTGCGTGCTTTCAAATGAGATTTGAGCATTCATTTCATAAGATAAAGTATATAAAATTGCAACCAACGGAAGGGCCCATTTAAAAATTTGAATTGATTTGAAAAATTTTGTGTTACATGATATTATTCCTGGGAGAACAAGAACAAATATCTTTTCACCCCAAATAGCGTCTATAACATAGCAAAGCAAAAAATTCAACCCACAGTGGTACTATTGAACCAACAACCTCAGTCAGGGTTACTTATGGGGACATGGAAAACTTGCCAGAGAAGATATCTCTCCCCACAGCAGTAGGTAAGCACATGCATATTCATGTGGAGAGAGGGGATCTTTTATGCCCCCTCGTATTCAGCCTTATCCACCACTTGATGAGTAGTCTCATACGCTATGTCTGTCATGATGCTTAAGTGCCTTCTACCATTCTAAGAGGGAATGTTACTGGGCTCAGTCTTCTCAGGATCTCGTGTGGGTAATCACAGACAACAATGGCCATTTTATATGCATAATACAGTTTCTTTATAGTCTACTCCTTCTTCTGGCTCTTACATTCCTTCCAATATCTGCCTAGCCTCATCCATAATGGTCTCTAAATTTTAAAGGTGGTGATAAATGTCAAATTTTGTTCTCCTATATAGTGTTCAGCATTAAGCATTGTGCCATAACAGCAATAACATTACCATTTTAACCGGTTATGTGTCTTCACATGGTTGACAACAATAATACATTGGAAAACATAAATTTTTGAAAGGGAATTTATGAGAAACAACAAATCCAGTTAGCATAATATAAGTAGCTTCCCCATTAGGACTTATAACCTCTCCAGTAACAGGGTTTCTTTATTATACTGGTATACTAGTTAATTTTCCTTTGCTGTTATAAAATGCCCTGACAAAAGCAATCTAACTCTCAGACCATAATGATGGAGAAGTTCCACTTGAGGTCACAGGTCACATTGCATCCATCATAAAGAAGGAAATAGTGATGATTATTTTTGCTCAGTTCAGTTTCTCCTGTATAAATACAATCCATGTTCATTCCACAGTGAGCAGTTTTTCCTACCTTGATGAACCCAATCAAGGTGATTCTATATAGACATGCCCATAAGTCCTTCTCAAATGTGATTCTAGATCTTATCATATTGATTGTTGAGATTAATCACAGTAGGTGTCATTGTGTCTTTTTTTCTTTGTATGATAAAAATAACCTCACATATTCAGTCTACTTACCTATTTCCAGGAGCCTATGATTACTACATGGCTTGGCTATTGTAAAAGGCACTTAAGTAGTCATACACACACAGATAATATATGCAGAATAAAATGGATACATGATTGATTATAAGGCAACACAATTTTGTTTTTTGAGAAACTTCTGTATTGATATACATATCAGCTTTACCAATTTATATTTGCACCAATAGCTTTACAGAATAGCTTTCTATGTTATCTTTTATCCAGGCCAAATCCTGACTCCCACAGGGATTCTGTTTATCTTAGTCATTTTACCTCTACCCTTATCTTGAGGATTGCTTCTAAGTAAACAAGAACCCATTTTATGGATGAAGTCATATGTACTTTATAAAAAGCTTCAATGTAAGCATGTCTTAAGATTTTTTTGTACTCATAGGGCTGAGTTAATTGTTACCCAAAAATGTTTTTACCCCAAAATTATGCTATGCTTAAATGTGGCAAAAATAAACAAGCTGATGTTGGACCCTGAAAATCTTGGCTCAGCACTGGTTATCTAAATTCGAATGAACCAATTTTCACTCTTCACTCACTTGGATTGCTTTCTATGCTGGCTGTAAAGCCTACATGGACCACCCTCTCACTTTCAGATTATTTTAATTAAATAATTAATACTTAAAAATTAGGTAAACTTGAGAATATATTAGAAAACTCTCAATGTAAGTACTATTCAAAAATACTAATAATGTCTGAAAAGTTGAAGTGACCAAATGGATTTTTAAATCTAGATGACAGTCCTTATACACACTTTTATGTTTGGAGATTATAGTACAATAAATTCATAAATCCACGGGGTACAAGTGCATGTGTGCAACCCCAGCAAACACAGATGCATAGACACACATTTATTAACTTATGAAAAATTACACATAGTTATCAGCTTTAAAGATAATGTTTTAAGGAATATTTATACAGATGGTATTTCCTAGAAATTTATTTAATATGAGTGTTATTGGAGTTTCTTTGTATATAATTTCTTTTGTGTCACTCAGTGATTATGTAGTAGTGATGATATAGATGAAATCAAGGTTCATCAATTGATTTAGACACTGTTTATATGAGTTATGTGTTGAGTTCTAAAATTTTATTAACAAAACAAAAATTCTGGAGAGATTAAACAAGCAACAAAATTAAAAACATTGAAATGGAATATTTCTTAATTTGCATGCTAGCAAATGATCATGTGGCTTCAATCCAATATCAATTCTGACAATTGTACAAGACAATGGCAGACATAAAACTATACAAGATATTTAAGAAGTTGCAATTTTCTATGTTTGTCATGGGGTTGGAAAGAAAGAATTTCACCACAATTCCTTTAGTCAAGGATAAACAGACTCCCCTCAGTACATATAGTAAATGAATAACAAGTGACATTAGGCTGGTCTTTTTTGTTTTTGTTGTTGATGTTCCTTTTCCTCTGTTTACTTTCACACAGACTGAATTTACTAGGAAGGACTGTGTCCACCACAAAAATGACAGAATTTCTTCTAGGAAACTCTACCATCATCTTCATAGCACTGGTGAAAGCTGTCCTCAGCTGATCGAATTTTAATTGTTCTTGCCTTCTCTAGAATTTGTCTGCTCTGGACCATATTAATGAAATGGCATGTAAAGGTGTTTGATATACACATCAAGTAAGATTCATTGGTCTTGTTGCTTGGGGTGTAATCAATCATTTTAGCATCTGGCTTGCAACCATACTTAATGTATTTTATTTGCTTAATATAGTCAACTTTCTATTTCTTTACTTCAAGAGGAAAGTTGAGAATGATTTTCTTATGATACTTTTGTGCTTGTGCAAATTGCTATTTTTAGTTCCTAATTTTTTTTTGTGGTAAGTGTAAATGTGACTGTGTGTAGGGGGTGAAGTTGAAGAAAACCTGACATGGAAGACCAACTGGAAGGAGAATGTATGCCTTTCCAATGTAGTTGTATTCATGCTAGTAAACATAAAGCTGTTCATTGTATAACTGACCTATGTTGATCTACTCTGTACACATCTATGGAGTATGGAATTCTACAATAAGGGATGCAAAGATTCTAGCATCATGGTTCACACAATGGCTTCACACATGGTGGTCTCCTTTCTACTTTTATATGCACACATTCTCTGTCTGTGCTCACATGTGGATGGAATTCTCACACGTCATCTAATTCCTTAATCTTCTTATTTTTCCAGAATACTGGAATGGTCTACCCTTCAAGCCATTCATGCCTTTTGATCTGGGGAAACAATAAGATAAAGCAGGCTTTTCTGTTTTTTCTATGGCAGGTAGAACAAAGGCTGAAAGAGAATAAAAGAAGTCTTCAAGTTTTTAGAGCAACAACAAGAACACAATATGCCTTCTAACAATAATCAAATGGATAGTCTATAAAATCAATGGAAAGAGTAACAATATTTTCTTTCTGATATCATTAATATATTAATATATATTTAACATATTATTAATATATATTAAATATATATTTAAATAACTTACAAATTTACCTCTAAAATGACTTTTTCCAAAGCTTACTTAATGAAAAGATATGTGCATGTATGGACAATATAAGAAGGGATGTGAATAATATGTCCTTAATTGCTCTTTCTTCCAGACAACCAAACTATACAGAGCATTGTATGAAAAAAATGAGAATTAAGAACGCAAGTGTTTTTCACCTATGTGTTATGTTACCTTATGCCTGAATTTTGTATTTTCTTATACATAATTCATGAACCAATCTGTAACCAATGTAATATAATCTATGAACTCTATTGAAGGGACCAGCTCCCCATTTCAGCAGCCATAACAGCCAAACACATGCTTGTCTGACCTTGCCTTAGTCACTAAGAGGTCAGATGCCTGCCTCGTGGCAAGGAACCAATCAGAAGTTAGCTGGTGGTGCTGTGCTTTATGTATCTGGGTGTGCTTTTTGGACAAGTGCACAACAATGATGCGCAGAGCATAGCAACCACCCTGGGAGGGCCTCTGGGACATAACAACCAGTTGACCAATCAACACAGGGCAAGCCCTCCAAGCCTGGAGGCACACCAATCCTGAGCCTGTGCGTACCCCTAGACACTCCCCTTATGCTGCCTTATAAGATCTCTATGCAGATGCTTCAAGCTGTCTTTTCTAGCCATCCGCCATGGTGGATGGATGGAAGGCCCGAGCTAACATGGGGTTAGCCCGTTAAACAACAATAAAGCCTCCTGCAGTTTGCATCAAGCTTTCGAATCCACCTTGTGATTGGGGTGACCTCGGTCCTGGGCTGAGATCCTGGAGTCCTGAGCTTCCGGGGGTCTTACACTATGTAATAATTCTATATGATAATTCCTGGGGATTTCTTAAAGATATGGCTTCTCAAAATCTCATGCAGAACGTAGAAATGAAAGGAATGTCATAACAGAATCATCATAAGCAACTGATAGTCAATTGATGGGGGTTGTCCTTTTGTATATATATTTCTCTTATTGGTTGATAAATAAAAAAACTGATTGGTCAGGCAGGAAGATAGGTGGGGCTAGGAGATGAGGAGAATTCTGGGAAACGTAGGCAGACAGAGTCTCCATGTGAGCCCAGGAAGAGAGGATGCATCAGGGATTTTCCAGTAAGTCAAGACCACATGGAATTACATAGATTAATAGAAATGGATTAATAGTTAAGGCAGAGCTAGCCATTAAGAAGCTTTAGCCACTGGCCAACAGTTTCATAATTAATATAAGTCTTTGTGTATTTATTTGGGGCAAAAGGCAGATAGGACCCTGACAGGCCAGAAATACTCATTCAACGAAATGGCGCCAGCAACATGGAGAATGAATTTCCACATAGAACCTGAAAAAAGCTTAAAAAGGGACTTTAAAAACAAAAGAGAAGAGGCAAGCACAGCTTCTTGGTAGCAGCATTTTCTTGGGTGGCCTCTGTTTGCCAGAGACAAGCAGAGGCTCACGACTCCTTTAAGAGTGGCTTCCTGACCCAGCATAAGCAGCAAAAGCCACTGCACAGCTCTTTTTGTGGTGCTGTTTAGTAGATAAAGGACTCCTGGCTAGACAAAGGTAGATATACAATAAAAACAGATTCAGATGAAGTAAAACCTGTAAAAGGTTTACAGTGTTGGGAGAAAAAAGAAAAAAGATAAACTGGTTAAAAAAAAAAAAACTAGAGTGGCTGGGCAGTGGTGGCAAATGCCTTTAATACCAGCACTTCATACTCAGAGGCAGGCAGATTTCTATGATTTCAAGGCCAGCCTTGTTTACATAGTGAATTCCAGGACAGGCAAAAGTACACAGAGAAACCCTGTCTCAAAAAATGAAAAAAAATAAAAGTAAGAGAAATAGAGTAATAAAAAAGCCATGCAAAGATGGAAAATACACAGCGAATCTGGATACTGTATGCTACTATGTTGTCTTTGAGTGTTTGATTGCTGAGGAAAGAGTAATAGCTGCTAAAAGACATTTGATTATAAATGCTGCCGGATTAATCCAGCCTATATATTTTAAAAATTGCTTGACTTCAAAATTTAAAACTAAGAACATGTTACTTTGGAAAAGAGATTTTGTTTTTGTTTCCATGGAAAATGAAAATCTGTGAATTCCTACGAGACTAATGTGGTTTGATCAAGCAAGACCACTTGAAGAAGAGGCCCAGGTGATCCAACATCTAAAAACAGCTGACACATGCAGACTCATAATACTGCAGCCAGGCATTCTCTGGTAATAGAAGACCATGTGGAAATATTTAGATTAATAGAAATGGGTTAATAATTAAGAAAGCGCCAACCAATAAGAAGCCCTAGTCAGACTAATTAGACAAATTTCCCTTATGAACATAGATGCAAAAATTCTCAATAAAACACTTGCAACCTGAATCTAAGAACACATCAAAAAGATCACCCACTATTATCAAGTTGGCTTCATCCAAGAGATACAGGGATGATTCAATACATGTAAATTGATAAATATAATCCACCTCAGAAACAGACTGAAAAAACAAGATGAACTCATTAGAAGCATAGTAATCCTTTGACTAAACTTAACACTTCCTGATGAAAGTCCTGGAGAGACTAAAGACATTAGTGGTTTATATCAACATAGTAATGGTGATTTATAGCAAGCCTCTGACATCATCAATCTAAACAGGGAGGAATTAAAAGCACTAAAATCAGGAATAAGAAGAGGCTAAGATGTACACTCTTTCCATATGTATTCAATATAATACTTGAAGTCTTAGAGAAATAAGACAACTGAAAGAGATGAAAGGGATACAAATAGTAAAGGGAGAAATCAAAGTATCTTTAGCTGAAGATGATACATACATGACTCTAAAATCTCCACCAGAAAACGCCTTCTGCTGACAAACCCTTTCAGAAGAACATACAAAAATCATCAGTCTTCCTATATGCAAACGACAAACAGACTCAAAAAGAAATCAGGGAAATAATATGTTTTACAACATCCTTAAAAATAAATTATCTTGGGGTAGTTCTAAACAAATTTTAGACACTGAAGAGACTATTAGAAGGTAGAAGCCCATGGATCAGTAGGATTAATATACTGAAAAGGACCATCCTACCCAAATCAATATTCTCAACATACTCCCTATCAACAAAATTTTTCAGTTTTTAAAGGAAAATTTTCACATTCATATGGAAACACAAACAAAGCCAGGGTAGTAAAAAAAAGCTGGATAATCAAAAATATTCTGCAGGCATCTCCATCTCCTATCACAAATTGTATTACAGAGTTATTGTAATAAAAACAGCATGGTAATGGCATGAAACAGACATATTGATCAATGGAATCAAACTGAAGTTCCATACATAAGTCACCACAACTATGAACATCCAGTCTTTAATAAAGAGGCCAGAAATACACACATGAAAAAAAAGACAGCATTTTCAACAAATGGTGCTGGTCACACTGGGTGGCAGAATGCAGACTAATGCAAATAGATCCATATCTACCACCCTGCACAAAACTCATCTCCTATTGGATTAAAGGCCTCAACATAAAACAAGATACACGGAACCTGATAGGAAGAAAGCATGGGAATAGTCTTGAACTCCTTGACATAGGAAAAGACTTTTTGGACAGAGCACCGTTAGTACAGAAATTAAGAAAAGCAATTAATAAACAGAACTACCTGACACTGAAAAGCTTCTGTGTCGTAAATGATACCATCATTTGAAAAAAGTGCCAGGCTACAGAATGGGAAAATATTTGTCAACTACACATTTGATAGAAGCCTAATATCTACAATATATGAAGAACTCAATATTGCACACGAGGAAAACAAATAATCTAATTAAAAGGTAAGATGCAGATCTTAAACAAACACAGTTCTCAAGAAATGAAATATAAATGGATGAGAAACACTTAAATGAATATTCAACATCCTTAGCCATTAGGGAAATATAAACCAAAATCACTTGGAGATTTCATCTTACTTGCACTAGTCAGAATGGCAACAATCAATAAAACAAATGACATTTCACACTGGAAAGCAAGGGTATCATATAAGGGATCATTCATCCATTGCTGGTGGGAAAGCAAATTTGCATAGCCATTCTGGAATTCATTGGGGCAGTTCCTTATGAAGCTGGGAATAGATCAGCCAGGAGGTCCAAATAGCTTAGATGTCTCTCAACAGATGAATGGATAATGAGAATGCAGGACATTATACAATGGAATGTCAATTGTTAAGAAAAATGAAACCATGAAATTCATAGGTAAATGGGTTGAGTTAGAAAAAAAACCATCTGTGGTAACCAAGAACCAAAATAAAAGAAAGAAAGATAAAAGTATGTATTATCTTATATGTTGATGTTAACTTTTAAGACTTCCATAGGCATGCCACTATCTATATAGCCATAGAGGTTGGGTATAGAGTAAGGATGGGGGGGGAGGAAGGAAGGCTTTCCTGAGGAAGAGGAAATAGAATATAGTTATGGAGAGACTGGGGGTCAGGAGGGTAGAATGGGAAGATTAAATGTAGAGGGAGAGAAAGTAGGGAATGCAGAGAGGGCAAGCTAAAACTAAGGGTTGTTTGAAGGGACATATGGAAACCTACTGGAGAAGAAGCTTTTTTTTTTTTAATATACACAATGAAAGAAACCTATGTAGAGTCAACCAATAACTTGGAGTCATAGCCCTAACTAGATGTCTCTTGCCACCAAATAAAACCACCACTCCACCACTTTGAGGAATGGGTTATATTTAATTGAGTTTTTGGCCAAAGGGGCCCCATGAAAACCTGCAAACAACTCAGTTGTCACTGCCTGTGAATTCAATGCAGTGTCCCTAAGTCAGGAACTGACTTTTAATTTGTTTTCTCGATTTAAGTTTTTGTAATCATCCCATCGTTATTCTCAGCCTATGTAGAACATTCTTTGCCTAAAAGATGCTGTTAGGTAGAACCTTCAGTGTTAGGAAGACAAGAATGGCAGGATCTGTGGTGGGACTCCTCCACAAGTGTAGCTATTGATGAGTACCAAAGCCCTGAGTCTTTCCAAGAATCTGTGAAGCTCCCTATGCTTCCTCTTTCCACAGAACCTCGCCCCACAGTAGTTTGCATGTCTCTTTGGCTTTCGTGAGCTCATCTGTCAGGAGCTATATCATAAGGAACCACCTTCCCTTTGGTAAGTTGTAATTTTTGTTTATTTATTTGTTTTTATTTTTGGATTTCTTGAAAGATTTCCAATGTTCTTCTATTATACCTATGTGTAAATATTTGCGGGGATTTAAAAAGTAGATTGGACTCATTTACTTTGCTCTATATCGTTGCAGCAGACAAAGAATAGTCAGTCTCCCACTCCATGCCACCAGGGCTACCCTGTCTCTCTCAGCCATTCTGAATATTTACAATTCATTTTTTCTGCTGTCTCTGGAAGTAATGCTGAGTTTGTTTGTTTGTTTGTTTGTTTGTTTTTGCTTACCCTTTCCTTATTTGAGGAGGAAAAATCCCATGATCCTGCTCCCTGTCTATGTTGCCTAGGCAGCAAATCATCCTTACCTATCTTGGTCAATGTAAAAATGATCACAAAATAGATGTTTGGATGAGGGGTGATAGATTAAATCTGCAGATCATTTATGCAATAAAATAATTTGTTTTACTGGTAAAGAGGAAAGCGGCTGAGACAGATTCTTTGTAGATATACTGATTTACCTCTTTGGCTACTTCAAGGAAGGACAAAGAAACTTCCACCCATTTTTACATGGATAGAGCATACAACTCAGGTTAATGAATATTCACATTTAATACCCCATAATGTGTTCCTAAGATTCCTGTCTGAACCATATTTAATATCAATATACTAAGTGTCAACCAGATGTATAGCAATGAGTAAAATAGCAAGCTGAATTTTTGCACCAGAGAGGAATTTGGCACCAATTAAAGTGTATTTATGTGTTTGAATGAGTATACATGCCTTTGTATGAAGTGAAGTAATCATTAAGTATTATTCTCAATATCAAGCCTTGATGTCAGCCAGATTATTAGGTAGCAGTGCATACACTAACATTTGAGTAACATATACACTTGTCCTTGTGCTGACCCTCTTCTGAAGAGTCTAAAGAATCCCTGTGATTAAGAATTCTCACACACTAGTGCAGGTCATTTTGCTTCCTAATTTCATTAGAACATTACTTTGCCCAATACTCAATTATCCAGATAATAAAACATGTTGAAAAGCAAACAAAAAGAGAAACTAAATATTGTTATTCATATGTTGGCATATAATACAAAAACATAGTGTTTCCTTCAGTATCAACTAGAGAAGATTCAAGAATCCTACAAGCTAGTTAGTATTTTGATGAAGTTTCTGTGTGGTCTGTCAGTCCAAGATTTTCATAGCAAAACATGTGGACTGGGTCACTGAGAAATCTTGGTGTTTGTTTTTGTGGTATTATATCCACAAGTTTTAAAAAGGTGTATAATACATATTTTGAAGAAACATTGGATGAATATACTAACAAATCCTTAGTAGTGACATTAGAAATTTGGTTATTATTTTACAGACAATGGTTGCTGTCCTAAGGAGAACATTTGCAATCATTTTCAGTGTGGAATTCATAATGGGAACTTTAGGAAATGGATTCATTGCTCTGACGAACATCATAGACTGGGTCCAAAGAAGAAAGATTTCTTTAGTGGATCAGATCCTCACTGCTTTGGCCATCGCCAGAATCGCTCTGCTTTGGTTGTTATTCCTAGATTGGTGGATATTTGTGTATTACCCAGCATTTTACTCGACTGGAAAAATGTTAAGAATCTATTTTATCTCTTGGACAGTGATCAGTCATTGTAACCTTTGGCTTATTACAAGCCTAAGCAATTTTTATTTTCTCAAAATATCCAACTTTTCTAACATTATTTTTCTTTACCTAAAGTTTAGAGTTAGAAATGTCATCTTGGTGACCTTGATAGTGTCTCTATTTCTCCTGTTCTTAAATGTTGTAGTTGTAAAAATATACTCTGATACATGTCTTGAGGGTGTTCAACAAAATGTATCTCACACTTCCAGACTGTGTAACTATGCACAGATTTGTGAACTCCTTTCATTTACCAATCCTATATTTTCAACTGTACCTTTTGTTATGTCCCTGGCGACATTTTTCCTGCTCATCTTCTCCCTGTGGAGACATCTGAAGAACGTGCAGCACAGCACCAAAGGATACAGAGACATCAGTACCACAGCCCACACCAGAGCCTTGCAAACAGTCATTATTTCCGTACTGTTATACATTATTTTTTTTCTGTCACTTTTTGTAAAAGTTTGGAGTTCTGGGTCTCAGGAAAGACACCTCATCCTTTTGTCTGTCTGGGCTCTTGGAAATGCTGTACTTTCTGCTCACCCATTTGTTCTGATTTGGGGAAACAGCAAATTGAGGCGGGCTTCTCTTTCAGTGATGTTATGGCTCAGATATAGGCTAAAAATTTAGAAGCATGGGGCCCCAGACTATCTAAGGAATCATTTCACATATCCTAAAAGAAAATAAGGAGACAAAAAATTCTCACACAAAGAAGTTCATGTATGGTAAATATTTTTGCTATAAGTACTTGTGAGTTAAACAATGGAACAGTCTATAAAAGAGGACCATGTAACCTTTGTCATAATCATAGACAGATAAGTATATCAGTACACTCCACTTAAATGGAGATGCCTGTAGTCAGTCTATGTGCTCTAATGATGCAGAGCTAAGATCCACAAACAAGACAAAACATGAGGTATTTGTCTTTCAGGGTTTAGTTTATCTCACTCAGTATGACATAATTCTACCCATTTACTTGTAAGTTTCATGTGTTAGACCCCCGAAAACTCAAGTATTCTGGGTCCCAGGCCATGTTCGAGGTCACCCCAATCACCAGGCCGATTCGAGAGCTTGCTGCAAACTGCACGAGGCTTTATTGTAATTTAACGAGCAAACCCCATGTTAGCTCGGGTCTTTCACCCACCCGCCCTGGCGGACAGCTAGAAAAGAAGG